TTTTTTTTTTTTTTTTTTTTTTTTTTTTTTTTTTTTTTTTTTTTTTTTTTTTTTTTTTTTGTTGTTGTTGTTGTTGTTGTTGTTGATGCTGCAGTTCCCTTTCTTTACGATGAGGAATGTTTTTTGGATAATTAGTTGCTCGAAGGAATTGTAGGAAATTTTAGATTGATATGACTGTGACTGGTGTTGGGATTGGATCGAATGCTCATATTTGTTCTCGATGGATGTAGTTGACTGTTTGTAGTTTGTATTTTTTTTTTTTTTATATGAATCATGGAATTCAGTGTTCATGTTGTTGAGTATATGCAGATTGATTTGTGGTTATATGTGTGTTTAAATGAGATGCTACAAATTAGGGTTCCTTTTAGACTAGAAAGTACCAAACCTGAAACTGAAACTACAAATTACATGCCAACGTGAAAAAATGATCTAAAGGCTCTCAAACTTTTTGAAAACAAGTAATCGTGAAAAGCTTTAAAGAGAATCCTCCCAAAAGTTGTACGATTTTTATTAATTTGCTTTCCTCCAGTCTTATTTTAAGTTTATGATTTTGTTTGGACTAAATAACCTTAACCTTGGAACCACCATAAGTTGAACTAGTGGTAATTTAAGAGAGAGTTAGTATAAAATGGTGGTCACTTAGCTAGGAATTAAAATTCTACAAGTTTTCTTGGCAACCAAATGTCATTGGGTCAAGCAGTTGGTTGCCTCTTGACATTAGGATGGGTGTGCAAATGTGGGCTTTTATGCTCGAAGCATATTAAGGAAAGAAAAAATGACCCTTTAGTAATGGATTGACTCTTTGATCTTAAATCAAACCGAAGAAGATATTTCAAAAGCCCAGCTACATTAGAAGCTTGCACCATGTGTAGACTGATGTTTTTTTAAGCATGCCTAGTACAGAAAGGCTTTTGAAGTTTTGATCCTTCTTCTCATTCTCGCCGTTCTGGCTCAAAGGACTTGAACCGAATAGGGAAAGAAACCCAGCTGATGGTGACTTTTGGGGATGGTATGACTCGTGGACCACTCTTGTGACACATTGAATTGTGAGATTGCCAAAGAATCCCACGCCAAAACCCATAAAACTCTTGCTTTCAAATCAAACATGCCAAACCGTCTGGTTTCTTTCAAACTAAGATGGTTTGTGCAATCTTTAATGGTTTGTTTCAGTTGTACTTGATTCTTATGTTCTAGACACAGTAGTATTTAGTTCCTTAGCTTTTGCTGTTTGAGTTTTTTTTTTGGGGGGTGGGGGAGGGATTTATTAATGTCTTATATTGTTCATAATTTGTTTTTTTGGTATCTCAGCCATCTGTGAGGAAACAACACAATGCAGGCTACAAACATAAGGTATCTTAATCTTACCCACGTCTTCAAGCCAGTTTAGAAATTGAATTTTATAGAACTTTTATGGTTTTAAAAAACAAAACCACTTCCCGACTTAAAAATTAAAAGAACTTGGTTGGTTACTTGGTTATAGTTTAAGAAACTTGTAAATGTGAAAAGTTAGAGGTAAGATTTTATTGTTTCTTAGAGTTTGCTTTCTGTCTACTGAAATACGATAATGATTATGATTAACATCTTTATGTGTATTGTAATTGTAACTTGTTTATCTCTAAATAAAAGGATAAAGTTTAAAGAAATGTGGAAGTACTTCAATATCTTTCCATTCATCCATCCAAAACAAATTAAAAAAATAAAATAAAATAAAAAGAGGGTGTTTTCAAGGGGGGAAAAAAAACCAACAGATTTTAGTTCCTGATTTATTGATGCACTCCAGGCAAATGTGCGATCATACTATCAGCAATTTGAGGAGCAACAAACCCAAAGTTTAATTGACCAGAGGATCAAAGAACATCTCGGTCAAGCAGCAGCATTCCAGCAGGTTGGTGCAGCCTATAATCAGCATTTACTCGGTCAAAGACCTCGTCTTCCTGTACTACCTACTCCTGTAATGCCAGGAGGTGCCCCGGGATTAATGCCTGGAATTAGGCCTCCAGTTTTTCCAAGACCATTGCCTGGTGCTCCAGGTAAAGTTCACACTTCTGAGATTTTTTATTTTTTTTTAATGCATATCCCTTGGTCTTTGAGTGTTGTTTAACAATTTGCATTTTATACTAAATCCACCTTATTATTCACTTCGATAAGTAAAATCTGATAGTCAAAGTATTATACAGCTTGAATAGTGGAGATAATTCTTAGACCTGATAAATAAATTCCGAAGTCGAATTTGAGATCTTCAAAATTTGGCTAAATTATAAAAATAATATGGAACTTTGCTCCATGTTTGAAATATACCTCATTCTTTTAAAAATTGCATTATTACTCTTGATTTTAATAAATGTTTCAGTACTACCTCTAGGTTAGAAAATTCGTTAAAATGTTGGACCAAAAGTCAATGTGTCGAAACGTTGTTCTTTTAGACTAATCTAGGCAAGCGTCCTAGTCATCGTAACATCATTCTAGGCCATCACCATATCAGTTTTTTGTCTTACATTTTAATGAATTTCTACTCCAATTGTTGTTTTGAAACATCGGTAATATTGCAACCTTGGAAAGATTATGAATATTTTTTAACCCATTGGCAAATTTCAGGGGTCTTTTTTGTTTTTAATAATTTAGCCTTAAAATTATTTCTGTTGGTACAGAAATGATTTTTATTTCTTTCCTTTCAACAATCAATATATGAAATTTCATTATAATATGATCTGTGGAACTGGAAAATGATGAGAGCAATGTAGATTATCTAGCTGCTTCTTGAGGCTGCTTGATTCAACTATTCCTCAATTATTTTTATACCAAAAGTAAACCAAATCAACCAAATGGACTCATGACGGTCGCTGTTGTTGGTTCATTCATTTTGGTTTGCTCTCCCAGTCATTTATTGAATTGGATGTATCTAATGCAATAGGTATTGTTTGAACTCCTCTCCTCCTTTGTCAATGTAGGATATCTACCTAATCCTACAATGCCGCCTATGATGGCCCCGCCTGGAGCTCTTATGCCCGGCCAGGTGAATGTTCCATCCAGGCCACCTCCCCCAGCGCCAATTCCCGGGAGCACACCGCAACTGTCTTCAACCAACGGTGCACCATTGACTGCTCCGCAAACGTATCAAGCAAATCCAGCAGCACCAGGAAGCGGTGGGTATGATAGTTTCACCACTATGGCTCAACCTTCCGAGTCTAACCCTTAAAGCTTCATATTGTTGTGCTGTTTGTGTATGATATCCAAAGCTCTTCTAATTCAAACTGAGACAATTGTTCTTAAAATGCCTGAAAAGAAGTTTGGAGCCTGGAGGTTTTAATGTAGAGAAGTTCTTTTAGTAAGTGATGAGCAAAGGGAATTATTTTGGTGGTTGATTCCTTGCTACTTGAACCTTCATCCTTTATTTTACTTAAAAAGTTTAAATTTCCATGCATACATATCAAGCCTACGGCGACTAGAGAATGTGAAAGGTGCCTGGATCAAGCTTAGATTTTGATATTTGGTTGTACAATGAGTAAATATGTGGATGCCTGCATATTGAATTGTTAAGCTCATATTGCCTTCCCTTTTTCTTCCAGTGATTCACTCCAAACTTGCACGAGAAGAATATAGATTTGATGTTGAATCATTACTGTTTTCCTTTTTTCTAGTTAGGACCGACCCGAGTCTTCACTAGCGTTGGCAGGTCAGCAAAGCTTATTCAGGAGATGTTTTTTTATTTGTATTCACGTCTATATCATCTCTAGGATAAGTTTAGTAATGAACATAACGACCTTATTGTTCCTACTCCAAACTAAACTTGCACGAATAGCAAACCCTAACAGCACTCGCTCTTTATTTTCTGTCTTGTACATGTATAAGAAACAAACTTCCAATAAAGAAAGAATGGAATACAACCCATAGGTCAGAGGGAAGAGAGATCTTCTTCCCACGATGGTTAAGAAAAAATTGATTAGATAATAAGTGATGGAAGATATATTTAACTATAAGAACTAAATTCTAACTTTTTTTTAAATAAATTTGATCAAAAAACTTCTCCAATCCAAGTTTGTTGTTGTACTTACCGTCCCTAAGATTGGTGCTCTAATTCGAGGTTGTGCTAGCTTAACCATACCACAACTCATTAATCAAAATATCATAGATTCAATCCTCCTCAAAAGACTTAAAAAACCTACTCGAGTATCTTTGAAGGACCAAATAGATGCCTTAGCTAATAGTACTTACAAATTCTAGCTTTGCCTTCGAGCCACCACTTGAACGCATTTCTGAAAGTGCTATGCCTTTCAGAGCAAGAGTTGAGGTCTTGGAGCCAAACTTGCAGGATCTGGTTTAAGAACATCCATACTCAGTCACAGAAAGTTGCTTTGACATTGAAGAACGAAGAGTAATACAAGAATTGTTTGTCCATAAATATAGATCTGATCTGACAACAGATGAGCTACTCATAAGAAAGAAAAGTCAGAGATAAATTAGCAAGTTACTTTGAAAAATGAAGGGGATGAACAGTTAAGACAGCTCTATTCTTTGAGCAATTAAGTTCACTGCTGCATTGGCAGAAGAGAATGCACCATGAAAACTTTCCTTATATGAAATAGATTCCAATTCTCTTGCCATGTTCAATAAAATATCGGCTAGCTCTGTCCTCTTCTCTAACAAAGAATTGTAGTACGATTTTGCAGCAACCTTGCTTATCTCTACATTAGTTTCCTCTGGACAGTACTCTTCGTCCAGCCATTTGTGCAGGGTAACCCTAAGCCATTCTGATTCCTGAAAAATACCTAAACAGATTATTCATAAAGGAAAGATCTGAAAGATTATTGAAAAGAGCTAAGTAAGGCTGTAACTCAGATCTCTCAAACTTGTTCTTGCTACATGCTTTCTGCAAGATTGAAAAACTAAAGCATTTGGAAGAACTTTCAGAAGGTAAATACAAAGGTAGATTTAATTATGAAGTGAAAAAATTGAAAAACCAAGTAGATTTCAAGGATTTCCAATCTCATTCGCAATAACTATTGGAGAAGAATGATAAAAAACTGTCTTAGATCATGGAAACAAATGTAAAATAGTGGTATTCTCGACATGTTTGACTTTGGGGCCTGATATTATTGATACCAACTTGGAAAATCTTTCCCAGCTCACACATCAAAATTCATTTAAGATCTAGCGTAGAAGCGTTTTGTGAGATTCCACATCGGTTGGGGAAGAGAACGAAGCATTCTTTATAAGGTGTGGAAACCTCTCCCTAGCATATGCGTTTTAAAAACTTCGAGGGAAAACCCAAAAGGAAAAGCCCAAAGAAACAATATCTGCTGGCGGTGGGCTTGAGCTGTTACAAAAGGCACCGCGCTATGTGCCTGCAAGGAGGCTGAGTTTCGAAGGGGAGTGGATTGGTGGGGGTCCCACATCAATCAAAGAAGGAAACGAGTGTCAACGAGAACGTTGGGCTCCGAAGGGAGTGGACTGTGAGATTCCACATCGGTTAGAGAGGAGAACGAAACATTCTTTATAAGGGTATGAAAATCTCTCCCTAAGTAGAAGCGGTGTGCTTCTGTTTTGGCTGTTACACATTTTCTATTCTACTGAAAAAAAATTGTTCATCGGAAAAATGCATCAAAAGCCGTGCCCTTAACATACTCTGGTGACTGAACAAACTTGTGTGGTGGCTCTTGAAGATTCATTCTATGGCATCATAGATATAGTCATCAAATTCGGGCCAGTTTTAGAAACTAACTCCGATATCTTCACTAGCAGACTATATCCATGGCTTGGACAATAAGCCAATGCCCGAGACTGCGGGAGAACATTACACACCCCACTGAAATTTTTAGCAACACAAATTCTAGAGGAGAATGTCAAATTTCTGCTAAAATATCACATGGATAACAATGTCAACACACCACAGTCACCAGTTCTAAACATCGAAAATGTGCCATTATTACGAACAAAGCTAATCAACACGTTCAAGATTGCAAAACGAAGTTCCAAAACGGACCTAATCGAACAAAAAATCAATAAGACCGGAAAGCAATACCTCCAATGCCTTGGAAGGGACCGACCAAGCATCAGGAACCCTGAGGCTTTCAACCTGCTCTTCAGGATCGTCATCTTGATCACCATACGGTGGCCCGTAACGAATATAAGACCTCGGAGTTAATCGCTCCAGAACGACATTGCAAGGGAGAATCTGCGGAGAAGAAGCTCGGAAGTTCATGGCGCGCTTTCTAGAAGTGAATTGAACTTTAAAATCGGAGGAAAACGCAGAAGAATTGGTGATTGAAACGTGCCTACTAGATGGAACCAAAATCAGAGACTCCATTTTCGTTCTGTTTTCTGTGATTCTCCGAGATCCCAACCAGTTGATGGCAGGCGGGATGGAGATGTGTGGATAGAATTTTTAAGTTGTGTTGTTATTATTATATATGTATATATATATTAATATGTGTATACATACATACATACATACATATATATATATATATATATATTAATATGTGTTTAAAAAACTAAGTTAAATTTTGAAAATAAATAAATAAATAAAAACACACTAAAGGCTAAATTTGTAATTTAGCATTTTAACTAAACATTCAAACTATGGGCTTATGGCCCAATTAAATGGGCCGAAGTCATCGCCATGAAGCCCAATTGTTGGGTCAAAACTAGTCAGCGAGGCGCCAAAATTCGGCCGGGCTTTACCTAATCCAAAAATCTTCGTTCAAAGGATAAGGAAATTCTCCGGCACTGACTCACCGTCTCCGACAACATTTCTATGGAATAAATCATCTCCAAGTTCTTTAATTCTCAAGCTCCGAGTAATGGCTGCAGCGATGGCCAGCAGCTGCTTCTCCGTCTTCAGTTCCACCATCAATTTCCGCTCCTCCTTTCCCTCCCGGAGCCTCCCGCCAACGCCACTCCGATCAACTGCTTTGCTCACTTCTACAGCTACTGCTGACCGGAAAATCGCTTCTGGCTCTAAACGTCGCTCCTCTTCCGCCTCTTCATCTTTCAACTTCGATGATGAGGTACTTTGTTGGCTGAATGCTTCTTGCTGTATCCACTTCAGTGTCGTTATTGTTCTGAGTCTTACTTTTTGACATGTTTACGTTACTTTAGTGGAGAATTTTGAGTTGATTGAACCGTAAAATAGGCATTGTGCATCAAGAGATTCGAGACTTGGTCGAGCTTGTGAACTTGCAGTGTTGTTGTCTCGTTGTGGAGTCTTCAAAACATTTAAAAACTTGGTCATCGTGTCTATCTCGTTCCCATTTGTTGCAGGAATATCTCACGTAATCATAGCTTTCTTTTCATTATTCGTTGAAGTATTCAAGGCCTGATGCTTTTTGTTGTATCCGCTTCAGTGCCGACTTGATTGAATATTAAGTGAACAGATTCATTTGTTTAATGTTAACTGACTGGGGAGACCATCGGATGGAAGCAAGTGATTTACTATTTTTATTGCATTCCTCTTCTAACATATTTTTGGTAAATGTGGGTCACCAACTGAAGGGGGAATCTGCTCTACGTGATCCATTTCTTCGAAAATCAAAAGATGGCATATCACTGCTACGTCAGAGTGAAAATAATGCTCAAAGAAATCCAGGCCGACTGCAGACAGCAGCTTATAAATCATTTGGCATGCAGGGGAAGGATAGAAAGGAGTTGGTTAACGCAGTCGAGGAGAAGGTATGATCAGTGGCTGTGGCACTTGGTGTTTGACTTGTATTTTGATGCTAATAGAAATAGGTCAATAACTTCATCAAATTATTCAATTAGGATTCGATTTTATGTTTCTATCTTCATAAGAGAGAGTGAAAATGATCCTTTTCCAGTATTATTTTAGCATTTCTGCAAGTGATCATGACTTCTATTCTTAAACTAAAGTTAGGATTACTCCAAAGGATTTATTTCTTACGTCTCAAATCCTGTGGATGCTTGGAAATGTCAGGGTGAACCAGGGAATCTCCAAGATGCTGCTTTCCTCAATGCTGTTGTGAAGGTAATATAAACTAAAAGCTTAAGCTTACTATTCAGATCAACTGCCTCAAGCAATAACAGTGACTGGGTATCATTTCCATTTTACAATTACCTTCAAGTTTCTGCATTCATCTGCATGTGAAGTTTGATAAACAAGTCCCTTTTGGAATTATGATTAGTTATTTCCTTTTAGGATTCAATTATTTTTTCACTTATCTTACATGACCTATCAGGACTAGCCAAAATTACTCAACTTCCTCATGACAAGTGGGATTCTATTGGATTACCTTTTTGCATAGTGATACAGTGAAAAATGTTCTAGATCAAGTGATAAAAGTCATTTACAAGTTTCAAGGCACCAATACCTTTGTGCCTTTTTGTACTTCAAGATATGGTATTGG